TTATAAACAACAGAAACGTATTGCTCACAGTTCTAGAGGCTGGGAAGTCCAAGACCAAGGTGCCAGCAAATGTGGTATCTGGTGAGGGTTCCCCTGCTTCATAGATGGTGCCTTGCTACTGTGTCCTCACATGACAGAATGGGCTAAGGGAGCTTGCTCCAGCCTCTCCTCTAAGGAGTCACATTCCATTCATGAGAGTAGAGCCTTCATCTTAACCACTTCTCAAAGGCCTCATCTCTTAATACTATCACACTGGTTATTAGGTTCCAACATATGAAGTTTGGAGAGGCACCAACCTTCAGACAATGGCAGATGGGATGTGGGGGTGAGGCAGAGAAGAGAGTCTGGCTTGGGAAGTGAGGCGCATTGATGGTGTCCGTCATGGAGAGTGAGAACCCTTTGAGGAGAAGCAGGAAGAAGAGGAGGAAGGGAAGGAGAAACAAGTATTTGAGGAGAAAGTGGAAGAGTTCAGGTTGAGAAAAGTTGAGTTGTGGGAGGTTGTGAGTTACCCAAAGGGAGCTCTTCAGTGACCAGTTGATCATATGGATCTGGAGTTCAGGTGTGAGGCCTGCACTGGGAGATGAAGATGTGGGTGTCATCAGCTTTCAGAAACTCGAGGGAGGATCAGCTGGCTAGAGGATACGCAACCACGAAAATGGAGAAGAGAAATGAGAAACAGGGAAAACTGTAAGGCACAGACAGCAGATGCCTAAAGTTTCTCACATGGTGTGGAAAAGGACTTTTGTAATCCCCCAGAGGCAATATCTTTCCTTCCTTGCTATGGTGGGTTCCTGCTAACAGTGTGTCTGTGTTTCTGGGGGTGGAGCAGCCTAGGGGCTGCCATTCTTTACTACCTTTGCATTCTTTAGGCCTTTGAGGGCTCTTGGCCTTAAGAGGCAGCATAATCCAGGGGTGAAGAGCACAGTTCAGACTACCTCCACTAATTTCTAGCTGTATGCACACTGGCAAAGTTGTTTAACCTTTCTCCATCTCCATTTCTTCATCTCTAAACTAATACCATTTCCAGAGACATTTTGTGAAGATTGAAATAGATAGCTCATGGAAAGCTTCATCACATTCACTATTATTATTATTATTATTATTATTATTCATGCTCCAAAAGAATCTGGAGGCTGCAACCCTAAGGTTTTATGCCAGGCATCAGGAGGAAAGAAAGTGCCTAAGAAGCATACTGTCTCCCTGATTTATAAAAAATGTTGTAATTTCTAGAGGAGTGGGAAGCCACAGGGTTAGTGTGAGATTGATGAGGCATTTCTGGATGTTGATTCAGGTGCTCAAAGACAAGAGTTCCTTTTCCCAAGATACCATCTGATCTACTGTAACATACAACATGGGAAGTTCACATATTACAGGAGATTGGTTTGGAGTCCCCAAATCCTTCTTGATTTGATTTTTATTGTATGGTCAGCCAGTGAGCCAATTCTAGACTCACCCTTTAAAGTAAAACTAAAATAGGTGAAAAACATGTTTATGGAGTCTCAAATTCCTTGGGGGCCGTAAATCTAGATAACAGAAAGGCACTTCTCCACTTAGTAATCAGGATTGTCATGGTTACTTAATGGTTCACATGATTCACACGTACACCCTGCTCTCCTCTAAGGCAGTATTTACATTTCAAAGAAACCTACATTTTTCAAAATTCCCATCTAAAAACATTTGTTTCAGTTGAGAAAGTGAAATTAAGGTCCAGAGAAGTTGAAACTCACAATAACAAAGTTATGTTTTCTGCAGGAATTTCAATAATAAAGGTTTTATTAGAGCTATAAGTGTATAACTATAAAACAGACTTCAATGAACAAATTCAGAAATATTTGCTCAAGAGTGACGTCTTTTATTTTCCTTATCACCATGAGCTCTATAACTAATAAATAAAGTTTCTTATACATTCTTATCAATTTTTATCACATTTATCACCCACTGCTAGGATAAACAAAACCGAAAGGCATCTTGTGGTGTGTCTCAAGGTTTTTGCTTTAAACGCAACTGATAATGGCTCCTGGTTTTGATGACATTGTTACCAACCACTCTTTGCACAATGCAAATTAGGTTTTCTTATTGATCAATTACATTGTATCCAGTCTGAATTATGAAAACATAGTTGTGAAAGAAATGCTCGTATTGAATAAAGTCGGCAATTAGCTGAGAATTGAGAACCTTTGTCATGGAAACATTTTCTATAGACTCTCACATCGTATCCTATAATGTTCTAGAATATTTAGTTATATTACAACGTTAGAAGTTATAACTTTTAATTACAAATGAAACTGGTTGGGGACAGGAGAGGGGAGTAAATTGAATAATAGTACTGTTTCTCAGTGTTTAATTATTTTAACTGGATACACACTTTTAAAATGAGAAAAAAAAACTTATTTAATGACCCACCAATGTCTATAGAGTCTTGGTTAATTTACTTATTCTCTTCCGGCCTTATCTGTGAAGTTGAGCGAGATAACTTGTGTTTTAAAAGACAGGAATTTTTCCCCTGTTAAAAACCAAAACAACAACAACAAAATAAAATAAAATAAAATAAAAAGATAAAATAAAAAAAACCCTCCTCTGTTCCGGGAAAGGATTAGTGAGGATGAAGCATCAGAGGGCTCCTAAATAAGGAGATACTTCATCCTACTCCAACACTTTCTCAACCATATTGCAAGCCCCAGACAGGACAGCCATGAAATGCACCAGGAAGACCGGATCCTAAGCCTAGCAACTCCAGCTTTGACAAAGATTGCTGTTCCTCCAGTACAGCACAGAAGCATCAGAGCCATTAAGCCCGAAATGAGTTTGCAATCTGGGACAATATGTGTCTCAGCAATAACCTTTGTAGAGGGGCTTGCTTTTCTGATATCTTCGCTCCCAAATTTTGACAACACTCAATGAGTGAGGGAACCACAAAAATAAATAAGGCTAATTTTTCTTCCATGTTAGCAATATGGAAGCTCAAAGTTTACATTCCTCCAAGGCACCATCTATCCCCAAGAGCCCAGGGCTACTATGTGGATGTTAGATTAATGGGCAGTCCATTTGTCAGGGTGGCAAACTCCCTTTGCCTTGATACCCTTCCATCTTTGCTTGGATCACCTTGGATTGAATTAAGTGAATGATGCCTGCCTTTCCTTTAGCAACTCCTTCACTAATTTAAAGAAATTCAGAGACAAGTTGTATGGTGGTCATTTTAACACCTGCCAAAATCTGTTTTAAATTATCCAGAGCAAATCATCCTATGTCTAAATTTCCCTCAAACTTTGTACTGGCCTTTAATCTCATTACAAGTAGAACACGTTTTCACTAAGTGCTAAATTACATGTTATGTAGTCCTTTTCTGAAATGCATACATTGAAGGAGAAGATTTGATTCTAGGTCAAAGAGAGAAAACTAGCCTCTGAGGGTGGTATTTCTGAGACAACCACTAGAAGATCAGAGAAGCACAAGCATTCTCTTCTTTTTCTTTTGTTAATGGAGAAGTTGGTCATTTCCTAGTAGACTGCACACATGAAGAGATTCTACAGCTAGTAATGCTGAAATTAAGGCCTTCTGGTGGGGATGGGACACATAGATAAGAAGTACATTTTCATTGCAAGAATGCAGATTGGCTAGTTACAGTGGACGCTATTGATGCCCTCTCCAGATTCCATTTATTGGGCCAGTGCATCCATCCCCTACCTGCTGTGAGTATTGGCTGCTGAAGATTCGTACTCTTGCCCTTGTCAGATACACCATGTCTAGAAAACCTGAGGAATTAAAACCTCTCTTCTTTCACCCCACACCGCCGCCCTCCCCCACTCCCCCCCGCCGCCCCGCCACCCACTCATGCATCCTGTCTTGAAATCAGTGGGCATAAAAGCCTGGCTCCCTTGTCTCAAGGTGCATTCTTTCCCTGGTGCCCTTCACGTTCCACAGTCCCCCGGACTCAGGCTGAGGCTAGACTTCAGCTGGATCATATCTATGCTGAGTTTCTTCCCCTGTCCTATGCTGCTCCCTTCACTTCCATATAGGTTTCATCTAAGGATACTCCCTCGATAAACCACTTTCACAAGAATCCCCATTCTTGGTTCTGCTTCTAGGGAACCCCACTTAAGACACCAGGATACTAATTTATATTTCATTTCTGTCTCTGTTTATGTTTTCCACTTCCACTTTCCCTTTCTCAGTCAAGCTAACTCTGCACTTCCCTGCCTCAGAGAAAGTTTATGTCAGGACTTCCCAGAGTCCATTTCCCAGAAACCCAAGTCCATTGTGAAGAACAGAGTTCGAGGAGTGAAAGATTTCCCTCACACTAAAAAGAAAATGGCCCACCACCACCACTGAAGGGAGAAAGAAAGGGGCCTTTGAATTCCTTGAGCAGATGGGACCTCTGCCCTGCTCCCCAACAACCCAGAGAATACAGTAGAAATTCAATGCTGATGGCCATGTGACATACCTTGGAGACTGAGTCCTATCCAGGATGCCCAGTCTCACCAAATTCCTGTCCCCTCTATGCCAAGCATGTCACACAAGCTGCTTCACTGGCCCACTGAAAGGCTCATGGAAACATGGATGACCCGTTTCACAGCTATAACAAGTACAGAAAGACACTCCCCAATACCTTGGTAATGGGTAACCCCGGGGACCTGGCACCACCCCCAAATCCCTGTGATAGGATGTTCTGCCATCCTGGAATCTACAGAGGACTGGCTTTTTTATGAAAATAAAGATGTTTAATAATTCTTTCACATACGAGTTACGTTTCATACCTGCTTCATGAAGGGCAGCAAAAGGGTAAGTTTATGATTATTACGCTTTGTTATTATGAAACATTAATTAATAGGATGTTTATGAAGCATTTTCATTAACTAATAAAAGTAATACCCTGCAATGCACCTGAAAAAATAATAATTTCAGGGCAACATATACAGTATGACTGCAATAATGTTAAATACACACATCCACATACTTAGGAAAGACAAGGAGTGGTAATTGTTTGGTGGCTTATTTTTATTTTATTTCTTATAGTTTTCTGTATTTTCTAAACTTTTGTAGACATGATTATTGTTTTTCAAATCAGCTGGTCTCTTCTTTTTCTGCTCTCTACCACAGGTCAGTCAGTAGTACGAGGCACGAGCCGGAATCACCAGTCCCACTGCTATCAAGTCCGAGTTCTAAGCTCCGCCCATGCTACAGCACTGTGAATGTCTCAGGGGTGCTCCCTTAGTCTAGTGAGAACACATTGAGAGCAGGAGTTTGAAGCCGCAGTCAACTTGGATGTAGGGACTGAGTGTTTAGGGGGAGGGGAAGGAGGAAGGAAATGAACCTTTAAGCTTCTCCTCCTTTTGCGTGGAAAACCCACCACTGATGGACAGAGCAGCAGACACAGACAGACGGAAGCGAAAACCAGACAGGAACAAAGAGGAGACAATTTGGACTTAGTGCTCAGTGGATGCACCAACATCTGAATGTGCGTCCAGACCCAGACCTTTCCCTGTTCAGGGTGCAGGTTGTCAGTCTGTCTCTTATTTCACAGTCCTCCATCGCTCTGCTACATGATAACCACTTTCTTCCCTCCACCTCCTGAAGTCACCAACGTCAACCATTTCTGCTGCTGACACTGCCCTGCCTTTGACAAGTCACAAAATGAGAACAAGCCTGGGTTCAGGTTGTCCCCTTGGGGAAACAGAGAAGTGCCTCCTAACTTGAAAATTGTGCTGCTACCTTCCACCCGGACTTCAGGAGTCTCCAATCAACACCCACCTTCACACCAACCTACAAGGATCTGGATGGGTTTCCTCCCTCTCCTCCTCCACCTTCTTAGGCCACAGTCACACCACCTTTAAGGAAATAGGGAGCTGAGAGCTGAGCAGGAACCGCTATTTGGACCAACACACCAGCACATCAGCTCCTGGTCACGTGAAGCCACTTCACTGGTAAGTCTGGGTCCCAAATTTCCCCTCCCATTATTTGCAAGGTCCCTTACTCCCCGCCTTCCCTCCCACCACCTCCACCATGCGGGGCACTGTCACTCGTTTTCTTTTTAGTCTTTGCGCACACAACAAATGTGTCATCTTTCTCTGATTACCGGAAGAAACAGCATCTTCTCCTGAGCTACTGGTCATTTCTACTTCTCTGGGAAACAGGCCCATCCTCTTCTCTGCTCCCTTCACCACTTCTATTTGGACTCACTAATGTTCATCTCTGCAGTCCTGAAAATACCTGGAAATGAAGATGAGGGAGGGAGTGTCAGGAAAGGAAACAGTAGGAATGGATTCTGTTACTTTCTTGTTAACACTATTCTATTCTTTGTTATACAAACATGCATTTTTATTATTGAACAATGTTAAAGAACTATTTTCATTCAAGAAAAATGATTCACTTTTATTAAGTGGCATATATCATAAACGATAATTCTCACTGCATAATGAGTTCTGCACATGTCACTCAAAGCAATCTTAAGTTTTCTACATCTTGTCCCATGACAACATCCTGATTAGGTAATCACTTGACAGTTTACAAATCTGATGATATGCCAGAACCAACTAGGTTTATTTCTGGAACGTAAAGGTGGTTCAGTGTTAGAAAGTCATTCATTCATTTATTCATTTATTCAGCACGTGTACTGAGCACCTACTACATGCCATGCATTGTTCTTGATGCTGTGGTTACAGCAGTGAATAGAGTTGACCTAAATTTCTAACCTCATAGTTCTTACATTCTGTGAAACAGACAAGCAACCAACAAGATAAAACATATAGTATATTGTTATTAATAAGTACTAAAGAAAAAATAAATGGCAGGAAAGAAGATATGAAAAGTCAAGATGGGATGAACTTTTAGAAAGGGTGACTAATGAAGGACTCGCTAAAAAGGTGACCTTTGAGTAAAGATCTGAAGTCTGTGAGGGATCTAACTAAGTGCGGTGATGTGTGGTGGTAATACATCCCAGGCAAGAAGACGAGCAACTGAAAAGGCTCTGTAAAGGGAACATGTCCAGTATATTCCAGGAACATCAAGAAAGCCAAGATGACTGAGCAGGGTGAGTTAGATAGAGAGAGAGAAATAGATTAGGCAGAAAAGTAGTAAGATTGAATAGGGTAGGGCCTTGTCAGTTGTAATAAGGACATTTGTATTTCCTCTAAACAACACAGGAAGTGGGTGGGGAGTTTGAACAAGGGACATGTGCCTGGATGTGTTGAGAATAAACTATAGGAAGAGAAGAATGACAGGGACATTGGCCTGTCTACATCATTCCTGACAACAGCAAACCAAAGAAGAAAAGAAACCTCACAATGAAAGCATTTGATAAAATAAGTCACCATTCCTAATTTTAAAAAAAAGTAGTAAAATAGGAATAGGAGAGAACTTCATTTATGTAGTAAATAATTATATGTAATTCCATGAGTCGTACTTAGATGAATTAAATTAGATATAAAAGAAAATATCCTTAACCTGATGAAGAAGATATCAGGAGCTCTTCTGATCTGGCAGATTCATCCCTCTCTCTGGTCTATCAAGATTACAGAACTTAACGACTTGCCTCCATTCACTGATAGTATTTCTTTGTACTACATGTGTGTGTGCACGTGCAAAAGAGAGAAAGAGACAGACTGGTAAACATAAGTGAAATTAGCCTTGAAAAAAAAAAAGAAAATACTTCAATCCAAACAATAAAAGTTATACTAAATAATGAAACAAAAGAGGCATTCCCACTGACTTCAAGAACAAGATCAGGAGGCTGTTAAGGAAGTTCTAGTCAATGCCAGTCATTAAGTTCTGTGATCTTGGCAGACCACAGGGAGGGACAAATCTGCCAGATCAGAAGAACTTCTGATATATTCTTCATCAGATTAAGGATATTTTTGTTTATGTCTAATTTAACCAAGAACAACTCATGCAGAAGAAGAAACAAAAGGGGGCATAAATGTTGGAAAGGAAGAAATGAAAACTCATCATTTACAAATGATTATATATAATACCAAGATAAGCCAAAGGTATCACTTTAAATTAGAATTAATAAGACTATCACAAAAATTTGGAACTTGATTAATAAGCACAAACGCACTTACTAATATGTGTCTAAAAAGAAAGTTGGAAACGGTTGACAGTGGCTGGGAGTGGAAAAGATAACACAAGGTTCTTTCCCTGTATACTTTATATATTTCCTATTGTTTTGAATATTTTTAACCACTAGTATATATTACTTGTATTACCAGAACAAAATACAAGATTCCTAATCTGGACTATTATACATACATAACACAGACCCTCTTGGCCATTGTATTAACTCTTAACTTTTTGTGGGGTGGGGATTACCAACCCCTTGAGAAACTGATGAGGTCGATGATCTCTGTTCCTGAAAAAAAAAAAAATGCATTTAGCCACACATATAATCCCAAACAAAACTTTGCAGGTGAATGCAATTTCAGGTGGTCCACAGAGTTGACCGGGTGAGAACACCTACTCTGGGCTCATCAGTGGGGATTTTTCCCTGGGCATACATTTGGTTGAGAGGACACCAAGGTGGATGTGCACTGGCAGGCAGTAACCTTGCAGCAAGGCTAGACTCTTCCTGTGTCCCCTGGAGCTAAGGAGATCAGAAGTGAGAGGCCCAGGAGGCTGCATCTCTTAGGCCAGGTGGTAGTAGCTGACAGTGTTTGGAGCAAGGTTCACTGGTAACCACGAATAAGGATAGACAGCAGTCAGGCCTGGGAACTTCCCCCAGCAATCACATTTTGTGTGATCACAAAAACCTTTTTGTGAAATCACAGGTTTCACAAATCGTCAGCTGCAGGGTCAGGTAAAAACAGCATTCCTTTCTATGCATCAATGGGTTACCTCTGGGAACTTCGGGAAGGGACGGAAGGAGCCAAAGACATTTAACCAGGTCTGCGTCTTGGTCACTTGTCCAGATATATTTTGGGAGTGAGCAACTGAGCCAGGTGCCTGAACGCAGGAGATGAGCGGCTCTGGTATATGGGAGGGAGTAGAGAGACAGCACCTCCCTCCTCCTCCTGACAGGGCAGGGAGAATTTGACCACCCTGCACCCACCACACTCAGTTTCCTTGGCCTCACAGCTTTTCCTTTTTCCCAGAGTTGAATCATTAACAGGAACCTAATCCGAAGACAGGTGTTCAAAACTGTCATGGTTACAGCCATCAAATTACAGGAGGTTCACACACAGCAGTCAGCAATGGTTTGGGAATATTAAATAAATGTGTTTCTGTAACAGAACAAGACAGGATCATTTATTTATGCAACTTAAAAGCTATCCCAGAAGGAGAAAAAAGTAGCACATTATTTGTCCAAAATAAATAAGATTGGACAACTGAACAGCTCTCTGTGGATCAATTTACAGATCATATGGAAATACGCTTATCTTATTGAGAAATATTTCATTTTAGATGTTCAAATACCTTAGCCTATTTTAAAAACTATTTCCTATGTGGCCAAAAGAATTCATGTTCTATTCGGTAAAAATTAACCAAAATTAATGGTGCTTTCCAATGGACGCAGGAAACCTTTTTTCTTTACAAAACATGCCCACCCTTTTTTTGTTGCTACTTCCCACATTGAATTCTTGTTTTACTGAATTTTTTTTACTATAAAAATAAAGTATGATGATAGTTTTAAAAGCAAAACAGGAGTATTCCAGAAGTACAGACCCCACTCCCACTCCTTGTCACCTTTCTGACACTCTGCCCCTTAGCTATACTGGAACAGGGCATCAACTGCAAGGAAAATCCTGGGGACTAGGGGCTGAGGAACTAGAAGTGGAGCGATGGAAGAGTGTCCAGTAGCCCAGAAAAGGATGAAACAATTCCCCAACAAAAAAGTAAAAATTTTCAATAGCCCTCCGAGAAGATGCAGCCCCTCCCAGGTAACCAGAGAAAGGCAAATTCTGAAAGCAGGGAGAAGGGGCTACTTTGGGCCTCCCGGACTACAAAGACAAAAAAATGAGTGACAGGACCTGATGTGGTCGGGGGAGATGGGAATGGAAGTAAAGGAGGGGGTTCGTACTCTTGGTAGGAGTGGAAATTGGGGACACAAGCTTACTGGCGATGCAGTCCTCACGTGACCAGGAGCTGACGTGGGCAAAGGTACTTAAAGCCCTGACCGCCGTCCCCCGTCCTCCTCTGGGTACCAACTCTATTGCGCAGCTCGCTGCCGTGCGTTTAACCCAGGCGAGGAGGAGGAGGAGAAAATTTCCCAGACTCGGGCAGGTGGGTGCGAGGGTGGGCACAGTCTGGGACCCCTGAATGGGGTAATCTAGGGATGCGGGAGTCGGAGGCCGCGGGTGCCTCGGTCTCCCCCGCTCCTGGCCGGCTTTCCAGACCTGAGGTGCTCAGACGCGGCTCATTTTGGTGGGCGGCGAGGAAAGGGGGAGGGGAAAACGAAAAGACTTTTGATAGAGTTTACGAAGAATCCGCTTACTTCCTGTCCAGCCAGTGTTTTTGGTTTTGTTTATAACATTCAGGCCCGCACCCCGCATCCCGTCCTGTTTTGAGAGGAGGAGGGAAGAGAAATAAACGTGGCAGCGCATAGAAGGCCAGCGGAGAGGTTGGGAAAGGGTAACCAGGAGGCGGGGGTGGGGCATGCAATTTGGTAACAATCTGGGCCGTACACTCCCACCCTGACCTCCCCCACCACCGCCCCCGCACCCTCCCATCACCCAGCCGACCCTCTGTGCTTTGGGAGTGCTGGGAAATGGGTGTACCAGCTGCTGTTGGAGAGATGGCGGGTTTGGCGCTGTCTGGGCTTCACGGGAGGTGGGGGTGGGGGGGACCCTGAGAGAATCTGGTATTAAACCGCCTTGTTAACTCGCAGACTGCTTTCCAGACACCTCCGGCCCACACAGCCGTTCACCCCCCGTCTTTTCAGTCCTGGAAAAGGAATTCGGGTATGCAGGCGGGAGAAATGGCGGTTGTTGGGGGGATTTGTGGAAAGTGGGAGGTAAAGCCCATAACAGAGAAATCGTGGAAAATCTCAACCCTGAACCCGAAAAGGCAGACGTTGAGGCCCCTCTTCTGCAGGCTAATCCTAGGCCTAGGGGCTGGGTAGTGAAAGACAGGTGATCCTGGGAGGGGAACACTGAATTGTTTGGCAGGAGTCCCCCATACCGCGTCCCATCCGGCTTTTGCTGCACCCTCGCCCTCGCCCCGCTCCCCTCCCGCTTCGTTGGAGGAGAAGGGGTGTGGCGGTGTGTCCCGGAGAAATGGCGGATGGGGGCGGGGCAAAGCGGAAGGAGAGATTGAGTGCCTGGGGAGCCTGCGCAGGAGGAGGATTGAGAAGGGAGGGTGGGGTGAGAAGAGTTGAAGGAATTGAGAGGTAGAATCATTTGACATTCTGGTGTGCGAATACGAAAAGGCAGTTACTAAGACCCTTGTCCTGGTGCTGATCCATCCACCAGGCTTTCATTGTCTAACGGCGACAGGCTATATTTCTGCTCTGCAGTCTGTCCTTAGGATGAATCTCTAACTGAACTGAAGTAAGGAGAAACAGCCTTGAATCTTTGGAGGTCAGTGTTGGGGTTGGAATTGTCTGGGGCCCCCAGGTGTGGGTGTGGCAGAGACCAGAGCAGAGTATGGGACCAGAGGCTCCTCCTGCATCTTCTCTCTTTTAACTTAAAAGACACCCTTGCCCCTTTCCCCGGGCCCTTTCTTTTTGGTGCAGAGAAAGGGGCGTGGCATCTGCCTTAGTTAATATTTGGGGGAGGAAAGGTTGAAGAGGAAAAAAGGATCCCTGAGAGGGGGAAAACTTTTGACCCACAGGGTTTCAAATCAGGAAAAGAACCAGAATTTGTCCACCAAAGGCTCAAAAACACCCTTTCTGATCTGTCCTCAGGTCTGTCTTCCTTTTGGGCTCTGTGCAACTGCAGCTACAGTGGAGAAAAGCAAACTACTCTTGATCCCAGGAGGTTGGTATGTGCATGAGCAACATCTAGGGACCTTGGGGGTAGGGAGTGGGACATCATAGCAGTATCTGAGGTCTCTACTGTTTTCCCAGCTCTCCACCAGCTTTGCGGATGTCTGTACTGCCTCTCGTCCCCCCATTTAGATGCTGCAAGTTGTAGGCATTGGCAGAGCAGGCTAAGGTTGAAGATGTAGAAAACGTTAAACTAGGTCTGTGAATCAGCAAACACAGGCCTTGACACCTGTGTTTGGGTGCTAGCCCACCGAGCAAGCATTGTGTCCCTAAACTCTTCTCTAAGTAAAACTGGTTAGACACGAAGTGAGCAAGAGCCCTAAGCCTCATTTTTATCCTTTACCCCTAGGCCCTGCCTAAGCCTCAGCAGAACTTGTAAGCCTAAACTGAAGAGCCTCACCCGGAGGAGCAGGCATCCCTTAACCTTAAGCAAGCCACTTCCACGCCCTGGATCAGTGAATAACCCCAGCTGCACCATGAGCCGCGTTCGGGATGCTGGCTGTGTAGCGGCGGGGATAGTGATAGGGGCTGGTGCCTGGTACTGTGTCTACAAATACACCAGGGGAAGAGACCAGACCAAGAAGAGAATGGCCAAGCCCAAAAACCGGGCTGTGGCTGGGACTGGAGCCAGGGCTAGAGCTGGGCTAAGAGCCGGATTCACAATCGACCTTGGGTCAGGATTCAGTCCCCCAACCCCAGTCCGCGCTGAAGCAGAGGACAGGGCTCAGGATGAAGCCTCTGTTCTGGACACAGCTGGAGCTGAGGCAGTGGCCCCAGCTGCATCCAGCGCTGAGGCTCAGAGTGGGGCAGGCGGTCAGGCCCAAGAGGCAGATGGAGCCAGGGTTGGGCCTAAGGCCGAATCAATAGTTGGGGCTGCAATGGCTTCTACAATTGCACCACCTCCCGGGGTGACAGAGGCCCTTGGGGCTGCAGAAGCCCATGCAATGACAGGGGCTCCCAAAGTGGCAGAAGCTCCCAGAGAAGCGGAGACTTCCAGGGCAGCGGTGCCTCCTGGGACAGTGGTGCCTACCGAAGCAGCAGCACCCACTGAGGTGACCGAGGCTCCTGGGGTAGCAGCACCTACCAAAGTATCTGAAGCTCCTGGGGTGACATCGCCTACTGAGGCAGCTGAGGCTCCTGTGCCCGCAACGCCTACTGGGGCTGCAGCACCTACTGGGGCTGCGGAGTCTCCTGGAACTTCTGGTTCCCCTAGAACAGCGGTGGTTCCTGGGACATCAGCCGCCAAGAAAGCAACCCCTGGGGCTCACACTGGGGCTATACCTAAAGCCACATCAGCAACTGGAGCGGTACCCAAAGGTGGAGCCAAGGGTGTAACCAGGTCCCGGAATGGGGGCAAGGGCAAGGGCAAGAAAAGCAAGGTTGAAGTAGACGAACTGGGGATGGGCTTCCGTCCTGGAGATGGGGCTGCAGCAGCTGCTGCAGCCTCTGCCAATGGCGGACAGGCTTTCCTGGCAGAGGTCCCTGATTCTGAGGAAGGGGAGTCCGGGTGGACTGACACAGAGTCAGATTCAGACTCTGAGCCCGAAACCCAGCGCAGAGGGAGGGGAAGAAGACCCGTTGCCATGCAGAAGCGCCCCTTTCCTTATGAAATTGATGAGATTCTGGGTGTTCGCGATCTCAGGAAGGTCCTTGCCTTGCTTCAGAAATCTGATGATCCTTTCATCCAACAGGTAGCGTTGCTCACTCTGAGCAACAATGCCAATTATTCATGCAATCAAGAGACAATCCGCAAATTGGGAGGCCTCCCAATTATTGCAAACATGATCAACAAAACTGATCCCCACATTAAAGAAAAAGCCTTAATGGCCATGAATAACCTGAGTGAGAATTATGAAAATCAGGGCCGGCTTCAGGTGTACATGAATAAAGTGATGGATGATATCATGGCCTCTAACCTGAACTCAGCAGTTCAAGTAGTTGGACTAAAATTTCTAACAAACATGACTATTACTAATGACTACCAGCACCTGCTTGTCAATTCCATTGCAAACTTTTTCCGTTTGCTATCTCAGGGAGGTGGAAAAATCAAGGTTGAGATTTTGAAAATACTTTCAAATTTTGCTGAAAATCCAGATATGTTGAAGAAACTTCTCAGTACCCAAGTGCCAGCATCATTTAGTTCCCTCTATAATTCTTATGTGGAATCAGAAATCCTTATTAATGCCCTTACTCTTTTTGAGATTATCTATGACAATCTCAGAGCAGAAGTGTTTAACTATAGAGAATTCAATAAGGGTTCCCTTTTTTACTTATGCACTACATCTGGAGTGTGTGTTAAGAAAATTAGAGCCTTAGCAAATCACCATGACCTCTTAGTGAAAGTGAAAGTTATAAAGCTAGTGAACAAATTCTGATTGGTTATGTACTGTCAAAAGACTTGAAAGAAATTTCTTGATTTTGCAGTCTGGAAGTGTTGAAAATTGAAAGTTACTGCTTTTCCACTTGCTCATGTAGTAAAGGAATCCTTTCAGCTGCCAGTGTTGAATAATGTATCATCCAGAGTGATGTTATCTGTGACAGTCACCAGCTTTAAGCTGAACCATTTTATGAATACCAAATAAATAGACCTCTTGTACTGAAAACATATTTGTGACTTCAATCGTGCTGCTTGGATGGAAATATTTTTACTGGTTCTTCTGAATTGACAGTAAACCTGTCCATTATGAATGGCCTACTGTTCTATTATTTGTTTTGACTTCAATTTATCCACCAAAGACTTCATTTGTGTATCATCAATAAAGTTGTATGTTTCAACTGACAAAAAGTCGTTCTAATGCTTGAATTTAAAACCCAGCTGGAGAGATAAGGTACATAAATACAAAAGGATATATACAAAGATCTATGAAAAATAATAATAATAAATAAATACAAAAGGATTACTAACAGTACCTGGGCATATGCTCTTTGTCGAATATACATGATCTGTTTAAATGAAGCAGAGGTTGCTGAGAAAGTTTCAAGGAGGAAGGGCGCATTTAAGCCGAGCCCTGAAGGGCAACATAAAAGGGCATTCCAGGAGGGGGAA